GCACACCAACCTGTGCACTGCCTGGATTGACTACAAGAAAGCCTATGACTCAATGCCTCACACATGGATCCTGGAATGCTTGGAACTGTACAACATCAACAGGTCTCTAAGACCCTTCATCAAGAACTCAATGGGAATGTGGATTTTTATATCTATATGATGAAATGTATCTTGGTGTATCAAGGTTCCTTATGTCTAGGTCTAGGCCATAGTAAGCTAATGAATCACAGATAAACAGTTAATCACCAGATGACAACTATATACTGATTCATTTGTCAGGGGGCCGAGCTAGAGCAGGAGTTTCGACTGAATCTTTTTTCATAGTTAAACTGTATTTTGTGGAAGATATTGTAATGTAGGCTAGCTTGAGGGAGGAGCCAGAGACAGAAGTTGCCTTTTCCTCTTTTTTTGTCACACACACTCTGGCAACCACACAGAACACACTGAAAAATCCCCGCCAACGCCAAAATAAATACATCCCGCCCAGAGGGGCATTATGGGGGATCCCACCAGGTGCTTTCCTCCAAGGCATTCTGGGGCACCCCTCCAATTGTCTCTCTGTTTCCCCCCCCCCAATGCTACAATAATTCATTTGAAATCTGTGGCTTTTTATTTTAGAATAATCCAAATGCAAACCTTGAGATATCTCACTTAAGATTATGTTTAATGTGACACCATGTCACTTCTGGTTTACAGCAGCCACTGTGAAATTATCACATCAGGTGATAACAAAATAAAAGCTAGTGAAACAGTAGCACATAGGGAAGAGTCATGGAGTGGTAGTCACAGTTATATGACAGTGCCTGGCTCAAGTTTGCTAACAAGTGTAGAACTGATCATAAAGCACACATACACAGCTTTTGCTAAACATTAGCCACTGTAGCCACAAGCAACAACAGCAGGTAAATGTTAAACTGTAGTGTGACAGAAGAAGAATCAAGAGGTTAGTAAAGTGGCTCAGTACTCTCAGTTACACACCAACATCCAGTTTAGGTTTGCAAACATTAGCCACCATAAGTTACTGGTCACACCAAGCCAGGCAAGGTTTTAGCAGGAGTGTGTTTTATTGCATTTGATTTAAAAAATTTCATGTATAAAAGAAAGAATGTGTTTTCCTTTTAAAAGTTTAGCAAAAATGTTTAGAATTTGTGGTTTATGAGTAAATCCATCTCCAGCAAAGCCGCTATCACTGTTTGTTCTGTGTACACCTTATTTGATTCTTGTCAGCTGCTCGTCAGTGCACAGCAGGCTCTGTTTTATCTCGACCCATTCTCTTCCTCCTCTGAATAGAGTTTGGGCGCTCTATTCTTTCCTTTTGTTGTTGAACGCAGCCCATACAGTCCGGCCCCTTCCCCCTCGCTCCTCTTTTTTCCACCCATCCTCCCATCTCTCACTCACTCAGTTCCATCCATCCAGGGTGACGCCAGTCCCTCTCA